TCACCGATCTCGAACTCTTTTCGTGTCCTGGCAACACGGGCACGACACGATATTAAAATCTGGAATCTGGCAACACAAATTTAATGAAAAAATTTGGGAAGCAACTAAAATTTCCTGTGGGTTTAACTTTAAAAATCATAAACTGTCACACAATGCAGAACGAGGGAATGCAATTGGAAATTGTAAATGTGGCGCCGTCATAAAGTGCGACATACATAATTCGTCAGCAAATAATTTAACAACAACAATCTCTTGCACAATTATCGAAGGTGGTGACGGACAATGCGGAAAACGGTACCTCAGACGTCCAATTAGAGAAGCAATCGCAGAAAAATTGAAGAAAACGACGGCAATGGCTTATCGCGTGGAGATGGCCGAAGATTTAATGAATTCTAATGATACCATCGAACCTCCACACTTGTTCAGCGCTAACGTCTTACGAGCAGCAAAGAAAAAATCTATGAAGAGAACCATTTGGATAAGGATCCCCTCAAGGCGTTGTTATTGATGCAACTAGGATCTTTGCGAGACATAATAAAGAACCTGAGTATGAATCCATTTTTTATTCATTACTGGTCCAACTACTAACTTAATTTATATAGGACACTGGTACTTTCTGGATCTGGTTCCATATATATCGACGCCACTGGAAGCATAATAAGGAGTATCAAAAGGCCTGATAACTCAAATTCTAGACATATATTCATTTATAGCTGTGTCGTCAATTGCGAAAATACCGGCCTTTTCCCTATATGCCAAATGCTATCGGAGAGCCACAATACAAATTCTATCCAATTTTGGCTGGCAGAATGGATAGTTCAGGCACACCTTATCCAAAAGAGGTTACATGTGACTTTTCTAGAGCACTTATAACGGCTGCGATTCGTTTCACCGGACATCTAACAATGATAACGTATCCTTTGTATTTTGTAAAAAGACACAGCAACTTTTTAAAAGATATAAGACCAAGAATTAAGAAGTTTTATTTACTCATGCTTGGGCAATTAATTATGTAATAATATAACTAAATGTTGATATAATTAATTATGTGTCGCAACGTCGAAATGGCAGAAGAAATATTAACGGTTATTTTAATAATCACTCAAAGCGAAACAGAAGGATACACCGAAGAAAATAAAGCAACGCAATGTGAAGAATTTAAAAATAAAATGAAGCATTTTCTCACTTCAGACGATGCAGTAGCATATTTAACAGAAGAAGAATCTTCAAATATCGATGACAACAACAAAGATGAAGAAGATGGTACAAACCGATGGTACCAGTGGGCAAAAACAATTAATAATAGAGTAACTGCAAATATCAACGACATAGGTGATCGTGAAAATGCACACTATATGCCCGCATTGGCCAGTAAATTATTGGAGGATATGAAATTCTTTCCCTTATGGTCTTGCGTTTGTCGCGACAAGTTCGGTTACGGAAGAATCCCAGCAAGTAGTGCATCGGTCGAAGGAGAATTTAATATAATAAAGAACATATTTTTGAGAAACGAGACCACACCAATGCGGGCTGACGATTTCGTAGAAAAACATATTAAATTTATAAGTGGCCGCGTAAAATTAGCGAATGCAGTTTCTCACGTACACGATTCAGAAAGGACAAGTGCAGCAGACGAAGATGCATCAGAATTATTAAACAAGAGTTCATCTATTGATAATGTTATTGCAACCGAAACATGCAATAGAAGCAACAGCGACATCATTACGATAAATAATTTGAAATGTCCCGCTTGTGCAAATGGAGACACACCTACTGGAGCCCACAAATGCGTTATTTGTGGAAATGCTGTCCATGCTCTGGAAATGTGTTTGCCTATGTGTGACGGGTCCAAAAAATCAATTTTTCTTTTTTGTATATTTTTATAGTTTGAAGTCTTCAAAATATGTCCCTAAAATATTAAGGTGAAATTTGTTAAATTGACCGAGCTATAAAGGTTTAATAAACGCAGCCTCCACGGCGCGCCGGCCTAGATGAATAACGAAGTGTTTAATGTTATTCAACCTATTTACGAAGATTTAACTACCGATGATTTATTACAGCGCCTCGGATTATTTACTCAGAATAATAACAAAAGTTTAAATTCATTAATTTGGATAATTGCACCAAAACATCTATATTGTGGAAAGAAGACGGTGGAAATTGCTACTTTTTTGGTTGTTTGTCTGTTTAATGACGCCTATCGAAGAGGAGGGTTATGATCAGAAACGCATTTGTAAAAAATGCGGGAGATCCGGAACAACCAAAGAGATACTGGCTACCAGAGAGATAGAAGACTGGAGAGGACTTGCGTCAAAACCATCTCTCAGAGGCAAATACCTTCAACGGGGCAATTTAGAACAAAACCTTTTTTTAGAAAAACTAGAAAAAATATCTATTTTAAAAAGCGGTGGTAACATGTTATTAAAATTTATCACAATAGGAAACCGCAAATATTCTTTCACAAATACTTGCTCATTTGATAGTGTTTTGCAACTTTTTATTACCATTTACTTTGATAAAGATCGTATAAAAAACTTTATACTTAAAGAAAGTAAGAATACATTTTTCAAACTTATTCTTGATGTCGCGAGAAATGAGGTACGAGTTTCCACATACAAGCTCCGTACATTAATATTACGTAGTATTTTTGACACGTCAACATTACGCAATAATTGTAATTTAATAAATTGTGAGGTCACGGTAGCTTTTTTGTGTAGACGATTATTTGAAAAATATCCATCTTTTGAAGAAGTATCTAGATGTAGTAGCGGTTGTCTCCCTAGGAAGAAAATATTACCCATCGTACAAGTTGAACTGGAACATCTAAAAAATAAAGAATTTACAACAATGGAAAATGCAACTTTTATTCAAGGAATACGACCGTGTTGCCAAGAGGGTTGTAATGGCCAAGAAACAACAGTTGTTTCTTATACAGGTATTCTGATAATTCATTAGATTTCTTTTTATTTTAACATAAACGTATGTGCATCTTCTCGTATTATTTAACATAAATAATCTAATTCACAGGTCCTATTATTATTCTTGAAGTATATGATATATATAAGGAGGAACAACAACTCGAGCTACGAAACATCCCACAAGAGCTTAAGTTCTCTTTCATGGAGGAAACATATAAATTAAATGGAGTGATACATTTTAAATCTCCGATTGTTCACACCAGACAATTAACAGAGTTCATAGGGCACTATACGGCAATATCTTACCATAAAAATGGAAAATGGTATAAGTATGACGACTGCAAGAATTCGGAATAATTACTCCAAGATAATTATAGCGCATGCCCGCATATTATTATGTATTCCGTATCATTATATTTAACCACTAATTATTTTTGATCACTTCTAATTTTTATTTCCTATTTTTAATTTGTTAATATTTTTACTTTTAATCGTTTTAGTAGTAACCAAAAAAAAAAAATAATAATAGAAAATAATAGAAATAATAGAAAAGAAGATATATACTCTCTCTGGTCAAAAATTTACAATTGTGATGGTTGTGTTTTAAAAGGTTAGAGATTGTATATGTATTTTTGTTTTGTTTAAATAAATATATATAACATATACTATGTTGTTTACCATATGTATTTATTTTTCCCCTATGTGTCAAAATTTTATCAAATTTAAGCGCAGAGAAATGGGACATATATAACAAATA